GAGACTTCAGGAAGGGACGCGAACGTTCGAGAATATGACGCGTTACTAGCGTCACGTGACCCCCGCTGTCGTAATTGTACTAAGTGTTGAACAGTTTGTTATTGTTTTGATATTGTGTTTCATATGGTTAATGTTATTCTGTTAGTCGCTTTTGTATTTTGACAGTAGAAGGCGGCACTAATTGAAAGCATTGTGTGAAGCATCTTTCTGGAATACTATGTAAATACATTTTTCCGACAAATAAACAAGAACTGAATAAAGACAGAATATGGCAAAGTAACACACGCGCCATTCCACATGAACTGTTCGTGTGAATTTAATTTATTAAGAAGCCAATTTATTAAGAACCTAGCTAAAAAAAAATAATGCGATAATAAGTTTTCCAAAGACGTAGAGCTTAGATTTCCGTACAGTAAGTGCAAGTAAATTATTCCTGAATATTAATATACGGCATTTTAACACAAATGCAGTTTTATGTATTTTGGTAAAGTCTACACTTTCAAAAATCATTTGAAATTTTTCTGATTACCTTAACAATTATGAAAAGAAGTAATGGCCTCTAGAGTAAGGACACTCTGTATAAAGACGCCCAGTTATTTCACATTAGAATTAATGCTCTCATAGATCAATCGCAACCTATTATTTGATTAGAGTAGCCGAAGAGTTAATGGTAGTTAAAGTTCACTAGCTTTCTTCCCTCGAGTGTTTACATCAAAAATTAGGGACGACTCTCTCAAATAGTCCTCGAGTAATTTTGCACAAAATTCAACAAACAAACTTCTCTCACTAACGTCTTTATATTTTGATATACAAGGAACTCTTTTCTCAGATGATTTGAAAGACATGTCCTTGTCCAAGGGCAGGACACGGCCTTGAGATTTGTGTGTGTTTTTACTGTTTATCCGAGAGATCATTGTTTGCAGCTCGTTGTCACAAAACCGCGCTCTACACTTCAAGTCCACACATTCCTAATTAAGAATACCTGAAGATTTGAAATATTTAAGATTTTATGAACTACTAACTTATAAACCATTTTAACTTCAATGGTCATGAAATCTAGAATTCATAAAAGCATAAAAAGTGTAATAAATGGAATTAATTATTTAGCAGGTCTGTTCGATAAAATAACATTAGAAACAACAAAGACATTTTTCAAGCCTACACACTTTTTCCCTTGAAGATAAGGTTATTAACATTATGCATATACGTTTTTAAGCTTATTTTATTATTAAAAATGTCGCTGAAATATGCGATTTTGGTTTAAGATTTTCAGCATGAAATAAAAGATTCTGAACTGGCAAAGATGTATTTTTAGTATATAATTAAATCTGTTTGTTTGTTTTTGAATTTCGCGCAAAGCTACTACAAGGCCATCTGCTCCAGCCTTCCTTAATTTTGAAATGATTGACTAGAAAGAGGCACCAAGTCAGTACTACCCACTGTCAACTCCTGCGAACTAATAGTGGGGTTGATCGTCACTTATAATGCTGCCGTGACTGAAAGGGCGGGCATTTTGTTAACTAAACCTCCTAAAGGTTATTTTCTTGTGCTTAAGATTAAATTGCGCTTGCTTATTATTTGCACAGTTATGATTAGTTTGCTAAGACATCTCCTGTATTGTACTGTTCCTATTCTACTTGCTTTAAAGGCTAAATTTAATTTTGTTCATAATAGGAAAACATACTCAGTTATATTTTCTACTGTCAAATTAAAACAAAGACACTTTTCAAATTAATAATGAGAAAAATCTCCTATCAAATGTCTAGTTATTGTTTTTTTTAAAGTTCAGCATTTTGATAAGAAGTTTATTTGTCACGTTCTTCGTTATTTCGAAATTCTTGTTTTGTTATTATGCATA